GAGCTGATAGAAGTTGTTTAAAAAATAATTCATGAGACTTACTTAGTTCTGTCAGGTTCCAGAAAAATTTAGAAACGTTTCCTTCCTTTCCTAGATCCTTAATTATGCAATTAATCTCAGCTGGATCAATCTCAGCCCAAAAAAGACTTGGTAAATGCTGATTTGCAATAGAGAAATCTTTATTTGTGTAGGTTTGTTGATATTGACTGTGCTTCGGTGAGGTTTTCAGTGTCAGCAGCAGTGCTGCTACAGTCTCCTGCTCATCAGTTCCTAGAGAAAAGGGTAGATCTATAGAAAAGGTTGCTATTTTTAGCTGACTCAGGGTTCCTGTTTTTTTCTGTCTGGTGTAGACATAGCTGCTGTCATCCATGTTTTAACCTGCAGGTTGCATTCTTGTAATATATTCTCTTTATATGCACCCATGAAAGACTCTTGGAACTTGATTTACTTAGAGGCAATTGTATGAAAATCACAGCACTTTTTTTTTTTTTTTTTGATTTGCAAAAAGCTATCCTGTCAACACAAAAGCTTTTTTGCAAAAATACATATGCTCAGTATTGTGCACTTATTCTTTTTTATTCTCTCGCCATTGCGCTCCTTAAAATTTTACAGTTAAACATGGGGATCTTACTTTGCTAACAATTAGATATTGTGAAGGCTATCAGATCACCCCTTGAGCCCCAGTAGACGTGGGATTCTTTTTTTTAAGTTAGGCCATTTTTGGCTTCCTTCCTGCTGCTCATTTAATAAGCTTTCTTATTGGAAATACGTGACATTTGGAGAAGATGGATGCTGATGACCTGCTGTCTTCAGTTATTTTCATTAAGATAAACTGAAAAGTGTTGTGTTTTGGGGTTGGTTTTTTTTGAGATGCCATGATCTTTCCTCATATCTTTGCAAAGATCCGTTATGATTCCTAAATTAGTTTGGGGAGAAGAGGCTTAAATTAATCCTTTTGAGTTTACTCTGCTTTCATTCTCTGTTACTATTATGTCATCTCCCACACTGAAAGTTATTAGGCTAGATAATCTGCTGAAAAACTGAAACCTTAGTTTGGTTTCTTTCAGTAGAATTGTGAACTTCAGCTTTTGGCTTTCAGAATAGCTGTTAGGTACATTTAGAAACTTGTGTTTTGCACACCAGAGGATACCTTGGATTTTTTTTTGAAGTTGAAAGGAGAGATGATTAGAGATGGTGTTTGCATTGAGGTGAAGCCAGCACTTTCAGAAAGGGATGGGAAGGGGAAAGATTGTTCTTTCAAGTAACGACCAAGTGCTAGTCCATTGTAAGTGAAAGTTGAATGTTTCTAGAACTGGTTCCTTTGGTTATGGAAGCAATTGCACACATGCACATTCCTAGTGTGAGTAGGGTTTTTTTGTCTGCTTACTTACATGGTTTAGATTGCTATGAAGATCAATATAATATTGACTCAGTTGTGTTGGTTCTCTTTCTAATGCAAACTGTGACGTATTGGCTTTTAACTCTTTGACTGCAATAATGACACCATGCAAAAATATATAATGTTATGCAAGATATAATATGTTAACTTGCTTTTGGAAATAGTTTATATTAATTTTATTTTAATTGGATGTAAGATCTCTAGAATAATTATCAGAGTAGATTCAAATATTCATAACTCTTCTGAATTTTCACAATTAACTGAGTGTGAAGTCCTATACTTTTTTAAGGTAACTGTTGGATTTCTAGCTGAATAATTTGAGTATACTTCGGAGCATTAATTGCAGAGGTCAAAAATGGACCACTTTCAGATAATTTAAATGAACTTGGGCTTTATCTAGCAACATGTGCAGCTGGTATTCCAAAGAAAGCATATAGCATTTGCTTGTTTCATAAATGTGCTGACTCTCAAAAAGTTTTCGTTTACACTAAACATGTGGGCTTAGCCAGAAAATCATTATTGAACAAGTTTGTGTGTGTGTGTAGTATGAAACCCAAGTATGTATTTTGTCAGTGCACTTCGCTTGCAGACTTAAAATCTGAATTATAAGAAAAAATTTTAAATTAATGTTTAGTTATGCAAGCAAGCTATAGTGTGTTTTCCTTGGGGCATTTTTTCATAGACAGCAGGCAAAATATTTTCTAGGTTGTGGTTGCTGTGTTCCTTAGCAGATAGTAGGGTGTTGCAGTAGATAAGCCCTGAGGATGTCCATGTTTTTTTTTTAAACTGCTTTTGCCGTGGCCGAGAAGAACATGAGTTGTCATATGTATTCATGTGTATCTGTGGTGTTTCTTTTTAATAAATGGTTGAAATTCTAGAACAAAGCAGCGTAGTGTACAAAGAGTTGCTTTTTCATAATTAAGACCAAAAGTATGAAATTCCAAAACAACTGGACTCTATATAATGAACAGAATATATTTATAAAGATGTTTATTAGTCACATGCTGTAAATGAGAACACTTGGGAAATTTGAATCTGAAATTTCACAGTGAATCAGAAACTGGTGCTATATTCTGCCAGGACAGCAGTCCTGAGCTCAGGGAGCCCTTGCCTGAGGTACTCTTTTTGCACTTAGAAAAACCTTCACCTACATGAAGTGTCAGTAGGTGTGTGTTAAGCAATTTATTATGTTGCAGTGAAGCGATCGTAGGCATTATTTCAAAGGAGTGGGGATGTGAGCTTTTCCTGCCGTGGCCCCCAAAGGTGGGAATTCAATATGTCTATTAATATCCAAACCATTTAATATACCACTTAAAGCTGTCTTTCTCTCTGCTTGGATTCACATGTGAAACCTGAGTGCAAATGCTTTATTGAAGAGCTAGGAACTTCTTCACCATTGACAAATTTCGATCTTGTCAGCCCCTGAAGGACATTAGAAATGCCTTCATACTGCACAGCAGGCGCAAAAACCCTCCCTCCCTCTGTTCCTGTAACACTGAAGCTTATCCAGCACTTTGACAGAAGCCATTTACATAATACACCCACAAGCCAGCACCATTTAGGCAGATTCAAGCTGAAATATTTATTCAGCAAGTTGTAGGGCTTTATATTATATTTTTATTATTATATTTAAATTATACTCAATGTAATTTTTTTCAAGCTGAGGGTATGTTTGTCTGTACTAGTTGTGAAAAACCATGGGTTTGGTCATTTTAACTGGGTTTTTAATAGTCAGCCGATTATTTTGAGAGATTTTAGTTTCATTTAATTTTCAGAGTATTTATGTAGGCAGTTTCGTGTCTTCAATGAGTTAAGGAAGGACTGTTTTGCTGCTCTGACCAGTGCCATATGAAAGCAGTTAAAATGCTGGAATTGTTTACTGCCTAAATTGTTGTTAGTCAGCAGAGCCAGTACACCAGATTTCTTTGCGGCTTTTCGTGGAAAATATTAAACAGTCGCTCTTTCTTCAGTTATAGGATTTTTACGTTTTCAGCTGCGTTAGTCACATAACTGGCACAGACGTAACTGCAAAGGC